GCTAAGGGGAAGCCGCTGCGGCGCCGCCGCCACGCCGGCTCCGCAGCCCAGAAGGCTCTCGGTCCCGCCCGCGCCCTGCGGTCCCTTCGGGCTTTGACCGCAGCTGTGAGGCACGGAGGGCAGAAGGGCTCATCGGTTGAGGGGTGTCGCTGCCTCGGAAGCGTCAAATTACTGGCGCCCTCTGTGAATGCAACATGGCAGCCCAGGCTCGAAGACTGGTTTCTTCAGTCCGCCGGGGAGGGTTGGGGGCGCGCGGACTCTGCCGAGCGGCCACCGGCTGCTTTCCAGGCCGGAGTCAGCCCTGCTAGCGCCCCCGACCCCGAGCCCGGCGGAGCAAAGGGCTGCCGCGCGCGCGGACTCGCCTCGCGTTCACCCCTTGGCCCTTTGTTCTCCTCCCGGGAGGCGCCTCACGCTTCGGGGGCTTTTAAAGGAAACCCTCGAAGACCCGGCAACCCTGGGAGGGATCCCAGGCCTCCTGGCACTCTACGGATTTGTCTAGCTTTCCCGGCCCCCGAGGGGCTCCGGGGAGAGCTGGAAGCTCGAGCGAGGGATCCTAACCCGGCATTCCCAGAGGAGCCGCCTCTCGTCGGGTGGCTTCCTTCCGTCTGGGCCCGGGCTCCTCACGCCCGAGAGGTGTGAGGCGGGAGACCAGGGCCCCGATGCCCGCCCGCGAGAAGACAACGCCCGTCACGACCGCGGGAAAAGGAGATTCTCCGCACCGGGGAGAGGAAAGCCGCGGGCTCGCAATCGCCCCCGTCTCTGAACAAACGGGGAGGAAAACACCCCTTTAGGTGTGCGCTGGGCTCCGTCACGCTTCACTCCAGCCTTTGGGCACGGGTGGAGGCCGCCGTCGCCCCGAGGAAACACCCCCGGCCCCGGGTCGAGGGGCGAGCGGAGCGGCCCACCGGGAAGGGGGGAGGGGCGTCCAATGCCCCCGAGGGGGAAGGTTAGGGGAAATTTTGAATTTTTAAAAAGCGCGGTTTAAAAATGATCCTGCCACGTTTACAAGCCAGTTGTGACGTTTAGCACAACGTGCTACTGAAATACCAAAATCCGCCACCAAATGGCGGCTCCTGCAGTCTGCTGCGCTGATAAAGAGGACTCGCTCGGCGTCGCCCATTTTAGGCCGCTTTCACTTCTCTGCAGTTACCCCGACTACCCTTCGCAGGTTGTTCCTTTCTCTCCCGGTTTTCGGGTAGCCAGTGGGAGGCCCGGGTCAGAGAAGCCTTTATACCCTGGGGGTCCGGCCGGCGCAGTCTCTGTCGGAAACCGGCTGCGTCCCGGCGTCTTTCAGAGGCGACGTCCCAGCCGCGGACCGCCAACCGCTGTCCCCGCCGAAGGCGCGAGGGCGCCAAACCTCCCAGGTTTGCCTGGCCCCGAGACCTATTTAGGCGTCGCCTTTGGGTCTTCAAGGTGTGGTCCTTTGCCCAGATCTTGAGGTTCTTGCCGCGAAGCCACCCCATACTGGACACTGTCACCCGGCTAAGACCCAGGGGACTGGAACCATCGGCCTTCCCCGTCACCGCCTTCGAAGCGCGGCCTTCAGGAACCTTCAAGATGGCAGCTTTACGTTTTGTTATTAATGTAGTTTGCAGTCTATCCAGTAAAATCTCAAACTGCAAGGACACCTCGTTGCTGAAGGAGAAAGGGCATAGGGTTTGAAGCGGGAGGAGGAGGAGGGGCAAAGCAAGGACGCGCGTCTGCGAACTTCGCGGGCGACCGCCCGGCCTCCCCGGACGCGGGTCCGGTCCTACCCGCGCTGAGCTCGAGGCCCGGGGGCGGTCGCCGAACCCCGCGGCCCGGCAGACCTGCCGATGTCTCGCCCAGTGGGCAAGGCTTCGGCAGGAAGGTGGCCACCTTGTGAGGCCTCGCGCACCCCACTGTCGCCGCCCCTTGCCACAGGTTCCGACTTTGGAGAAATGACTTCTTTTCGCCGCTTCCCAAGCTGGTGGGGCCTGAGAATCTTGCTTTCAAATTTGGCGGGATCCGAATCCGCGGAACCCAGAGCGGCGCGAGGCGAGCGGCGCACGCGCAAAATGGCCTCCCGGCGCCCCGCGGCCTCGGCTCGCTCATAGGGCCTGGCGGAGCCCCCGCGGCGCCGCGGCAACCGAGGTCTGGGCTGTAGCTTTTTACACTCCTCCGAGAGCGGCTAGTTGAAAAATAAGGACTGGGAGAATGGCGGTTTCCTCCTTAACGTGCCCTTTTGGTACAGGCTCCCTGACCGAGAAGACAGCGCGGCCGGGAAAGGGAGCTCATTTTCTCCGGGCGGTCGTCCTGTGCCCTTTCCGCGGTGCACCAGAATATAAGAAGACTTTTCTTTCTTTTCTTTTTTTCTTTAAGCCGCTGCCCATCCCACCCCAGTCATCCTCGCTCCCCGCTTTTTCTTCCAAGCCGCGCAGTGCTCTCCTGTCTTCGGCTTTGTTTGGGTGACTTCCACTTTTGGGGGCATTTAGACCAAACACTGTAGTTTCAGGACAGATTTCTCAATCTCCAGTAACGTCTTTATCCATCTCGGTAACGTTCCCATTCGCTCCATCTCAATATTCCTCGCGCTTCCCGAACATCCTGGTCCGCAGCCTTCCAGAGTCTCTTCTCTCAGTTTGAGCTCTAGCGACTTAGGGGGCAGAATTGTGAGCACCAAATCGGCACCGAACTTGAAAGCATGTTCTCTGTGAAGTTGGATTTTAGGATGGCCCAAAAATCAGAGCAAGAAGTAATATTTTTACTGAAATGTAGGTGACTCTGAGGGAACGACACCTGCTATTTTTGAAAGCTCTTTCTGATAAGTCTCTGGAAGGTATATTTTAGGAGTCCAGAAGAATAGTAGTAATTTAACTCATTGGAAGTTTTACTGAGTGCTTACTGTTTATTTGGAGGGTTAAATGAAATTTCGGGATGAGTTTTCCACATGCAGTTGAACTTCTTTAGAAAACTCACAAGGATCCTAGAACAGCTTTTGCAGTGATAAATGACTTGATGTCGTCGACTTGATGAAGACAAGGTTGACAGTGAAGTCTTCATGTGAGAACTCTAGAAATTGCACACTAAGAAAAAGAAACTGGTGCAAATAAAGGAAATCCGTTTCAAGAACCAAAAGAAGAAAAAAACGTTAAAAAATTAACTGCGGAAACAGGAAACACTCTACTGCGTAAACATTTTCGGAGACTTTCATAATCAAAACTGGGCGATCTTGAGATTTGCAAGCAGATCCACAGGCTCAAGGTATTCGCGGGGTTATTTCCCAAATCTGACTTACTAGGAGATTCTAACATGTGATACTTTCTTTCTTGTAAAGACCTATCTGAATTTTGTGGTCCCAATTTAATACAAGGTTTTATTTGGGATGAGTCAGGATTTTTTTTAGAGCGATCTTAGAAATAACCACCTGTTGTGCTATTCATTTTATACTTGAAGAAACATCCTCAAGTGAAATGACGCTATCTAACCCAAAAGCCTTATGCAGGAGCTGCCTTCTGTGCTCTTTGCATATCAGATGTCTTTAGAATATATACTGTTGTTAAATAGGATCTTCTTAAATGTAATTTCCTCAAGACCTTAGCTTTGGATAGAATGCAAGGAAGACCGCGTGAGGGAAACAACCACCGTATTGCAGAATATGATGTAGCCTCCATTTCATAGAAGCACTAGACTAAATCAGAATTCCCAACTATCATTCCACAGGCAATGAGGGAAAATAAAAAAGATGTATTTACCAAACCTTTAAAATATAAAAGAAATGGAAAAAAAAAAAACAACCAAAACCCAGTTCCATCACCCCAAGATTCTAAGACTGGGTCCCAAGTGGATTTTTTGTAAAATTAAGATCCCATCCCCTCAAAAGATGACCATAAGCTATTTTTTTAAAAAACCGAACATCTTCATTTCTTCTTGGCCGGTGTAAAGTAGCATTTCACATGGGTTCCTATTGAGATTTCACAATAAAACTTGACCTTGATAGGCCTATACCATGTGTCTACTGAAACTCCAAATATTGGGGAAAGAATAAGAGGAAAGGATGTAGGAATGCCCCTGCGAGTTTACTCTGCAAGTTGCATTGTACCTCCAGAAATCCTAACATCTGCATGGATGAAAATGGAAACGAAGCAATATGGTTGGTAGGTTAAGTCAACTGGAGGGCAGCTTCTTTTTTTCCCACTCAGTGCAATTAGCGGCCGGCAATTTTAAAAGCAAAAAGTACTTGTAAAGAGGTATGCATGTGTAAAGCAAGATAGATCGCTATTTACACAACAGTAACCAGCCCCTTTTTTGCATTTAAGCTAAAATCTGTGAAATCAATTTAGGCATTTTCTGTGGAATATTTTGTTGGCACTAACTTTGTGATATAGAATCCTAGAATACTTTTCAGAAGCAAAAGCCAAACTTAAAGCCTACTTTTCATGTACCTTTTACTGCTAAGAGTTACAAAAGTTAACAGCTTTGATATGGGTTATTACAAGATTGAAACTTTTTAAAGTGGTAGCTTAGCAAAAGTTTTAGATCTTAATTGTCAAAACTGTGAAAGCTGGTTATGGGAGAATGTAAAACATTATAATCTTTCTTGTGTTTTATTAAAAGACAAAGACATTTTAGATGAAATATCCTTTAACACTTAAGAAATGTTCAAATGGAGTAGGGAAAAAAAGTCCTTTCGAACAAAGTAAATTTATGTTTTCAAGTATGGTAAAACAGTGTTAAGTGAGTCATAAATGTAAGATCTGATTTTTAATAAGCAATTTCAAAAATAAGTCCATCATTAAAAGGTTGAGATATTAAGTCTTTTAGTTCCATGTTGATCTCACAACTTGGTTTTGTGTAAGTCAAGTGACAGGTCCACTAGCATTTGAAGTTTTTAGTCTTTGAAAAATATTTTTTCATTCTTTATATACATGATCATCCAAAGTAAAACTATCATTTGAAACTTCCATTAACTAACTTTTCTTTCTTAGATAACATCATGAAAAACTTTAGAAACCTACAAAAATGAGTTAAATTCACCAAAATTGGCAAACATGGGTAACTTTTACTTCAAAGATTGTAGAGTAAATAAACAGATACATCTTTCAATTGGGCTATCAAGCAATTATACAACAAAGCATGGACTTCTTAGCAACATCACTATTTAAGACAGCAATGGATTCTCTTTAGTTTTACCTGTTGTAATCCACAGTAGGGTTTCCAAAACTTCTGCACATTGTGCTTTTTGTATCAAATTTTTATTAAAGTCTTAGCTATTTTCTAAATGAATATCCTTTTTATTGGATTTTCCCAATTACAAATGAAATTTAATTTTACATCTATAATTAGAAACAACACTTACAATGGTACTGTACAAATTTAGGTCAAAATAAAAATATATGTATTTTGTGGTTTCATAAAACTTCATTTACTGTATCTTTAAAGAAAGCAGAAATAACAGCAATATATGTAAAAGTAATGATTTAATGACTATAAGCAAGACAAAGCAATAGAATTGTGCTTCTTTTGCAGACTGGGGACAATGAAATGTTTAGCTACAATTTTCCCATACAAACATGAAACGATATTCATATAGAATAAACACCCTCACAAATAACTGATGGGTGATGAACATATACCAAGTTCGACCAAAGCAAAACACAAACTGAAAATGGCTGTGGTTATTCATATTTTAAATTGAACATGTTCACTCTATTTAAAAATTAATACCTGGAGAAGCTAAGAATAAATTGCTTCTATTTCAAGATATTAGAGAGAGGGCATATGTCATTGTTTATAACTGTTAAAGCAACTCCTTAAATTTGAAGTAACTGCTAAACCACATGTTAAAATAATTTTAGATAAAATGCCTTCTTCCAGAAATTTGCTGGTTTACTTAAAAATCTGTTTTAGAATTACAGTGATCAATACACATTTTAAAAACACATTCATTCCATCAAAGGCAACAGGAAATGAAGACACTGTTTCCAAAGTCTTTAGTTAAAAATTTTTCTTTACTGCAACAATTTTAAAAGTAAACATGTATTACTAGAGAAAATCAGTATTATGATTTGCCAGTTGCTTCCAATGGAATAGAATTTAGAATTAGAAATCCACATTAAAAATGTTCTATGCTGATAAGGCTTAAACATAGGGCATCTGCAAAGGTCGAACCAGTTGGGAGAATTTAACAACCATTTCTGAATGCATGAAACACAATATTTTCTTTATAGTATTTATAAATATATCATACAATACTGTTTCCTGTTATGTCATATACCAATATGGCATTGTACAACAAGCATAATGCCATCTGATTCTTACAAAAGCGAATCATTTAAACAAGTCAGTAAAATAAACGGTAGTACCCGCTTTTAGGCATACAGATTGTAAAACTGAAGTTTACTTTCCTTTGATCGGTTTTGTGTAACAACAGAGAAGTAAAAATCAAACAGGAATCAAAATGGCTAAATATGCAAGAAGTCGTTATTCACAGTGACATGGCTACATAGAATGCATTATTCTATGCATATTCTTTCCGTTTGTTGAATTTCAAGATAAAAAGCACTTGTTTTCTACAGGTTCACAAAACAGCATAATAACAAGAACAATCAAGGAGAATGTAATGTAGGCGTTAGTTGAGATTAACAAACTATGGCCCAATGTTTATATCCACTGCAGAATTTTTCAAATCGGAACAATGGTTACAAAAACCATTTCACATCTTGCCTAACACACAGAAAAACATCTTGCCTGCCTTCTCAGAAACCAATTCTCTTTAGAGGAACAATCTTTTCCATTAACGTCCATATGAATATCACATCTAGTCCATCTTTTATAGCCAAATTTAATGTCACTACAAAAGAAAGCAAATTGGACGACAGTCACATGTATTAGCATCTCTAAAGCTGTAATGGCATGAAGATATCTATATAAATCAGGGATTTAAAATTTTTTTTCCTTAAGAGTCTTGGGTATCAACCAGATGAAGTTGCTGACGACCCATTTACTGACGATTTTCGAGGTCTATTGGCAAAGGAAGATTGGTGGTTACCGCTGGGGCTGCTGCTGGTTCCATTCATAGTGCTGGAGATGTGAGGAAACTGAGGATGAGGAGACTGAACGGGAGTGCTGGGGCTAGGCAGACAGGAAGAGGTGGAGGGGGCACCTCCTGCGGGGCTGTTGGCCTTGTCACTCCCAGAGTCACTTTCCAGTTCTCCAGCATTTGTCAGTCCATCTCTCTGGTGACTCATCTTCATTCTTTTACAAGTAGGTCGAACTCTGTATTTCAAAGGAAGCGGACCATTCTACAACGTGAAAAGGGGAAAAAAAAAGATCAGTCCTCTTTAAATACAGTTTTACCACAATAACCTCGGAGTATTAGTTATGCTACCTACCCTTCTCCAGGTATAAATGTAGGCAATATCCATTAGTGTATAGTAATCCTTTAAAGGTTCTTCTTCATACATGACATCAATCTATTGGAAAATAATATTTCAATTATTAAGTACCATGAAAAACAAAGATAAATAGAGACTTTTTCTGTCATCTAAATGCAATCCAAAAATGCTTTAACAAACATTCTCTTCAAACAGCTGGACAAAGAAAGAATCCCTCTTGACATTCAAATGAGGAAAAATATTTCCTGAAATTACTAAGGAATTTGTTTTTATAGCATAAAACAAAATTCATACCAAACATTGTAAGAGACAATTCCAGTTAAGTTCTAAATCTAAAATAAAAAATCTGTTGTTTTTTTGGTGTTCAGAATCCAAAAAGGAAAAAGTCATTGAATTAAAAAAAATCTACATTAAATGCACAAAAACTATAAAGTAGATACCTGGAAAGTGTTAGGTATGTCCATTTTACTTCTGAGAAACTTTCTTAGGTGCATCACAGTCATTGCTGCCGGGCAACGTAAATATCTTTTATCATTCACCTAAGAATACATTTAGAAAAGTTATTTTTAAACATTTCTAACTTTCGGGTAAGAAAAAAATCTCAGTTTAAGTTGCCTCAATATGATACAAAGTATGAATACCAAAACTGAGCTTGACTAAATTCTCAACTTGGAGTTTACTACTTACATACAAAATAAGGAGATTTCTAATATAATAAGAAAACTTTAAATACATCAAAACATTATTTATTTTATAAGCATAACAATCATATATAGAGCAAATTCTATCTAATTATTATCAGATATATATCATTCTTAAACATCTAATACAATCATTTTTCTCCTGTTTGACAGCATCATCTAGCCTAAGAATATCCTAAAGGGCAACATACACCTTCATAAAATCTAGAATCCAAACAGTGTTTCCTCTGTATGTTTTTGCAACATGGGACATACCTCCTCCTTAGCTTTCTCCTTGTCTTTGTTTACTTTCCGATCCAATCTAAAAAACACAATTTTATTAGTGGAACAATGCATCTATGAACAGATTAGCATAAAACACATTTCCAACAGAATTTACCTGTTCTGGTCAAAGAATTCAATGGATAAGCTTATTATCTCATCATCAGTTATAATTCTCTTATCTTCATCTGCAACTTCTCCTCTATCTTCATTAGAGCCATTGGCAGCTATAAAAGACATTTTGAAATTCCATTTTAAAATTAAACATGTAATTAAAATATTACATATGTAGGAAGATGGAAATGGTACTTTTAAGTTAAATTCAATTTTTATATATTATTGAGTAATAAATTCTCCCGCCAAATAAAATGTCTTTTCCCTCTCTAAAGAGTTTACCATCTGCTGAAGGATGGGCTGCATAAAAATCCCTTCTTCTCTTCATTTCATCTAAAGAGGGGGGGAAAAAAGACTTAAACATTTGTCACAGCAGGTAAATCTGATGAATACTTTGTAAAAATTCATTTGTAAGCACGCTACTCACTTTTGAAAAGCCCTGGAACTAATTTGTATACAATATCTTGGAGAGTTTTATCTGACCTGAAAAAGAATTAGAAAACTAACTTATTAATTTTTATTTCAAAAATTTTAAATGCTCATAAATTATTATAGATTCTTTTTCTTTGTAGTATAGTATTTTATGTGATTGTGAGAGTCTTCATCAGTAAGATAACAATTATGAGAATAAAAATTCTTCATATAGTAGTAACCTTTTAAATCAGTGGAAAAATACTTTTACATTCATTAAGAAATTCTTCACATTTCACTGAATCAAGAGAAGCATGCCTTTCAAATTACTAAATTAGCTAATATGAAAGAGAATAGAGAGAAGAAAATGGAAGCACTTTAAACACACTCATCCCTGCCTGTCATAAACTCAATAAAGCAATGCAGAAATGGAGAACTAATTCAGGTTTTAAAAAATGTTTTAAAAAAACACTTAAAATCCACCTCGATAATACCGAACTTTGCTTAAAATTAGTCATCATTAAAATGGCAAGAAATGAAGAGCAACCTTCACAAAACATGCACATTAGGTGGAGATTCAATGGTAAATTTTGTGTGACAAAATAAAACAGGGTAACCTTCACTAAATTATGCAATTCCAATAACAATTAGAGACAATAATTTTAAAACTTTTCTTACCTTATATTCAGTAGTGGTCTGGTTTTGTGAACTTGGACATCACAGATAGGACAATATTTGCTGGTCTCCAAGTAACGCACAATACATGTTTTACAGACTAGAAGTAGAAAAACAAAAATTTTATAAGTTTAGAAATTAGATGTTAAGCATTGAAATTAGTATCAAAAATGGAGAACTAGGGATAGCAAAATGCTAAATGTCAAAAGGTATTTCCAATGACCTAAACTAACTCAATTAACATTCTGAGAATATTTATACATTGCATAGTTACACGTTTAAAATATGCATTAACAGAAATTCACCAAACCCAAGAGTAGAAAATGACTCCATCACTTTTGTAACAACATTCTCAAGGATTGTGGGAATTGTTAACAGTTTTCAAACATCAAAAAGAAATAAGAAATATATATGACACACAAAAAAAGGTCTAGAACTTTGCACTTACAGGAATGTAGACATTCTATTATGGTCGTGGCATCAATGAAGTACCCTCCACAGAGCACACACATGAGGTGGGGATTTAGCTCCGTGATCTTGATTCTGGTTGTTCGATGCATTTCTGCTTGATAAAATGCCCTGTAAGACACAGAAATATTGGCCATAATCCACAGAAAGAGAAACGAGATTATCTCCCAATTTCTAGTAACCGAAGGCTCTGAAATGCTGAGAAGTTCATAAAACTCGTATAACACTGTACAGCTGGACTGTCCCAACGTTTTCTACAGAAGGAATTAACTAATGAGACCTCAATCAATTATAGTGAAATGACGAAAAAGGATTCAAGTAAAGTAACTTGTGGTCCCTCAGTTCATTCCAGGACGGAGAAGAAAAGGTCTGGGGTGGGGGCTGGGAGCTGAGAGTATTCGGGTCTCTTTCTTCCATTTGTCCTCTAGCCTAGCAGCCCCAAGGCTGCTGCAGACGCCACACAATCCCCGCAGATATTTACCAACCGCCAGGGCTTGTCTAAGGTCTCCAAATTTATTGTAAAACTTCCTTATGGATCTTCAATCGAAAATCCGGGAGATTGCCCTGGCTTCCCAGGGGTTCTTGTTGTTTTAGGCGGTTCCAAAAACCAGAACCTGGCACGTTTTCACGCGATACAAAGGGAAAACAAATTCTGCCCTATCTGCATCCCTGGCATTTCCGGAGCTGGGTGCTGGGGCCGCAGAAGCACCTCCAGCCGGCCTCGGGCTGGGGCCTGAGCGCGCGGACGCCCGGGGGCCGGGATGCGAGGGGCGGATCCGGCGGCGCCCCGGGCTCCGTCTCGCTCCGGATTCGGAACTCGGCCCTGTCGGGGTTTCCATAGCAACTTACACTTACACTTGGCATCCGGCCACCGCTGCAACTCCGCGCGAAGCCGGGCCGAGCCCGGAGCTTCGGCAGGCGTGCGGGTCGGCGGGGCGGAGGCGGCGGCGGGCGCGGGGGAGGGGCCGGCGCGGCGCGGGGGCGGGGCCGGCGCGGGGGGGGGGGGGGGTGGGGGCGGCGGGGCGGGGGGGGGGGGCAGCCCCACGAGGCCCGCGGCGCTGGGGAGCAGGATCCCGGCCGCGGCAACCGGGCGGGCAGACTGGGGGGCCCCCTGAGCGTGCGAGTGGTAAAGGAAAATGCAAACCGCAATCCCGGCCATTTCGGACACTCTTGGGGACCTCTTTCCAAGTCGACTCGGTGCGAAGAGCTTCTTTCAGATCTTGACTCGGTCTCTCCTGTTAGCAATCACTAGGTCAAAAATTTCACGAAGGGACCTTTTGAGAATTGCCAACTGTGCACTTAGCCCGAAACCATCAGAGCTCAGATTGCAGAGATGTTTATTGAACTGAAACTCTTTAAACTTTTCTTCTCTAATATGAAGTTCTCCTTCAGATTAGATGAGCGATACAAAGTTTTGCTAAGGCTAAAAAGTGAAATCTGTTTTACAAAAAGACAAGGAGGGGGCAAAGCCGTGTTTTATGTGAACTATGCTGGAGTCAAGACAAACTACTTTAATCGGTACGGGAGTGACAATCAGTAAAGAACCATGTGATCAGTCCATTCCCAACGCTAAATCAACACCTTGTCAACCCAGAGCAACGATAGGAGAGAAAAACAAATGTCATTTTCTCAACCTAACCTCCATACAAATCCCCACACGATGGAATAATATCCCCAATAGATAGCATATATTATAGGAAAGTCACGGTGGGAGACTGTCAGCAACAATACACCAGCGGACAATCAGGGAAGTCAATTATTTCGTGTAGTACTCTGGAAAAATATATTTCTCACCCCCCACTTCATTCATTTCAGAACCTAAAATAGGATCAAGCTTCTAGACCTGTTTGAAGTACATTCTTAAAACCGCTTTCAACAGAAATCTAGGAACCTGAGAAACTTGGGAGATGCAACTGAGGTTTTAATTCTTAGGGAATTTTAATGCAGAAGGAAATACCAATCAACATACCTCAATGGCTGAAACTAATGGCTTTAGAGTACTAAAAAAAACGGTAAAAACCAATCAAAGTCTCTTTTATGAGAGTGACCATAGTGGCGACTGGCAACTTCAACCAGAAAACTTCACCTGTGATTCCTCAGTTATCTTTTGATTACTTTTTTTTAACAAGACTATTGTTCACATATTGTTAAAATAAATCTAAGTGGTGCTGCAGAGAAGTTGTGGATGGAGCACTGTCCCTAAACAGTAGCAATATTTACATCCATTGTGGTTGACTAAGACAAACCTTAATTCTTAAAAGAAAACTAACTCTCCTTGTGAAACCACAGGTCCTTTCCTAGAAAGATAGCAAGGTGATACTTATATCTCCTTGTGAAAGCATCTCACACTAATGCTACCGAACATGAAGTTTAGGAAGGGACTTCAATAAAAATAGTTGCCTTTATTTCTCCACTGTACAGAAAACACCGAACACAAGTACTAATACAAAGGTCAAACCTCAGTGGAGGGTAATCTACTGGTTGGCTTTTAACATTTAAGGCACAGGTACCTGACTAAAACCTTTCAAATTCATCTTGTCTTAATTCATACAACTCTCTTCTACCTCAGTTCTGAGGAATCTGGCCACAGTCCTATTACCATCTATAATGCTAGTAAATACCACTTTGTTACTTACATAAAAATCAGTTCGTTATCTTTTTATACCACTTGAAAGTCTTGGCAATCTAAGGATGACTTCCAAGACGTTTGACATGCTTGGTAGATTTAAGAAACAATCCATTGCACCTTAGAAATGAAAGCCTTCCACGTTCCAACACAGAAAACTGCCAGGCAGGCAAGTAAAAATGCACCAAACATACCACAGTAAAAATACTCAATAGTTAAAATTTGCCACTGTAACATACTCAGTTGGGACTGTCAGTTTAGTTGAGAGGCCTAACACCAGTAGTGTCAAAATGAAGCAAAACAGAAGCAAGTTCTTATGTTAACAATCAGCTTGACTATTGCAATCTAAGAAATGCAAATGAACTCCATAACCCCGGTTGGGGTTCACAGCCCAGCAGAAGTATGGGTAAAGTTTGGACTAACTTGACTCTAAGAAAATTTTGCTTAGTTGGGTACTTAAAGCACAGCTCACAACTTGGTGGTAGAGTATTAATTAATTTATCAAGTACAATTAAATGCTCATTTTTTTTTTTTTTACAAAAGCGTATGTGTGTATACATATGCCTACGTAGTGACTTTTATATGGCTTTAAAGATACTGTTACTAAGCATATAATTTGCACAGGTAGGTTATTTCAAACACCTTTGCACTCTGGGGCAAATGTACAGGAATGAACTCAAATATTAAAAAGTTTGTAAATTTGCTCATAAAATCAATCTCTAAGGGATTCTGATCAGTCTACTTAAAATAATATTCAAATATTAACATAGTCACATAAGTTAGTATATACTGTCAACAGTTCGCATCTTTAACTTTCAAGTCTTTATTAAAGCTTGTAATGTGTTTTCAGAACTTGAGGGTTGGGCTTCCTATAAAACATACTTTGAACTACTCACAACATTCTAGGTACCACCAACCTACACTTGGATTTGGATAAACATGCCCAGAATTTTGCCTACTTTAAGAGAAGGGGTTAAATACATGCTTCTCTTTCAAATGTTGGACCGTGACCACTAAGCCCACTAAATCCTTTTATTGCAATTGAGAATGATCAAAGTCTCTCTACTTGTTTACTTCCAATCATTAACTGTAAATTTCTGGGAAAAAGATCACGCTATATCGCTGTCAAACCCAAAAGACTGTGTAAACATATGTAGTCAACTTTTTGGTCCTCCTTTTCCAAAGCATCTCTTTACCAACACGACCTTTAGCAAAACCTATAAAACGTAGTGGACTTAAGTCAAGGTTCTAAGTGCATCCCATAGTAGAGGTTGAGAGAAAAACTGCAGTCACCAAGGAGAAAAAAACAGAAAAAAAGAATGGGGGGGGGGAGGAAACCTCTTGCAAGACTAACGTCCAGTCACCATCATCACTCCAAAAAAAGCTCCAAATTTGAAATGCCCACTTCCCAGTGCGCACGTCCCAAGTAATGTTTAGAGAAGTTATCTAAGACTCCCAACAAATAACACCTTGAAAACTTTACCATTTTAAACACAAATGCAGGAGACCTTGGAAACAACTGGGAACCGCCATCTTACAGCCATCCAATTTCACACAAGTGTCCCTCCAACTTAAGTTAATAACATTTTTGTTTGAGCTCTTTCCAGTTTAACATCCACCTTGGCAGGATCGCTGCCCCCCACGTAACCCGTCCCTATAAAATGAGGGCATTCTCTGGATGTTTAAACCTCTGAAAAGCCCTTTCTTCGGGAGAAGAGGGAAGCCACTTGACCCGAGCAGCTCCCGATTTCAGGAACCCGTCCCCGTTTCATCAAAATCTACCTCTCAACAAAGGGCGCCGTGGCGGGGAGAGCCGCAGAGACTGGAAATAGAAGTGTTCTTCTCGGGGGCCATGTGCGTCGCGAGGGTGTAGAGGGGCGCTCGGGGGAGAAAGGCTAAAACGTGGGGCCGCGCGCGGCGCGTCCGGGGCTGGAGCGGGCGGCGGCTGGAGCGGCGCCGAGCCCGGCTGGCGGCGGCGGCGGCGGCGGCGGCGGCGCGGCGCGGGCTGCGGGTCGGTCCCGGCGCCGCGGGAGTCGGCGGGCGGCGGCGGGCGCGCGCTCGCGGGCGCGGGCGGCGCGCGGGGCCGGGCGGCGCCGCGGGACCGGCGGGCGGCGGCGGGCGGCGGCGCGGGGCTCGGCGCCCACGCTGTCAGCGCCCTCCGGGCCGGCGCGGGAGAGGCGCGGGGGGGCCGCTCCCCATCCACCCGCGGCCGTCCCGAGCCCCGCGCGGCCCCCGCCGCCCCCCGGTCCCGTCCCGGAGGCGCCTCGCCTCCTACGTACCCGGAAAAAGCAGCCGGCGAGAGGCGATCGAAGCGGGCGGAAAAGACAATGAAAGTTAAAAGTCGTTCAGCAGAAAATGAATGTGAGCCAAGCGGCCATCTTGAAGCGAGCTGCAGACGCCGCTGTCAATGGGCAACGAGCGCAGCCGAGAGGAGCTGCGGCCGCCGCGCTCGGCTCATGCTGCCTCCCGAGCCCGGCCTCCTCCTCCTCCTCCGCCTCGGCCTCCTCCTCCTCCGCGGCCTCCTCCTCCTCCTCCTCCTCGGCCTCCAACGCCTCCTCCTTCTGGGCCTCCTCCTCCTCCTCCTCCTCCTCCTCCTCCTCCTCCTCCTCCTCCTCGGCCGCCGCCGCCTCCTCCCGCTCCGCACTCGGGGGAGGGAGCGCGCGGAGGGGGCGCGATCAGTATTATTCTGCGGGGCTGGGAGGTGTTTCTAATCCGGATCGGGGCTCCCTCGCCAACATCCCCATTGTCTCGCCCCAATCTCTGCCTTTAATACTATGATTATTATTTCATAGTTGCTGTGGGGGAAGGAGGGCGAGTGGGGGGCGCCGTGTGTGTGCGTGCGGAGAGGCGGGGGGAGGGGAGGAAGGATGAGGAGGGGGGAGGGGAGGGTGAAAAAAAAATGCACCGCTGAAGGCAGAGTGGAAACTGACACCGGCTCCAAAATGGCTCAGAGTCCGCCCGCCCCCTCCCCCCGCCGCCCCCCCACCTGGTCACGTGCTCCCCTCATTCCTTAAGGGCGGCCTGGGAATTAGTGTCGGTGTAGTCGGGCCCGCGGCCGCCCCCTCCCCTTCTAGCAGCGCGACCCGGCCCCCTCCCCCTCGCTCTGCGCGGCGGCGCTGGCGCGGCTGCGGAGACATTTCTCCACAGCGCCACACGCGCCACCCTGCTCTCGGCGCGGGCATCGCTCCGGCCCCGCACACAGCTCAGCCCACCCCACCCCCCGTTATTTCTTTCTTTCCGCCGCCCGCCTCCGCCCGCGGCGCACACGTCCACTGGCTCTAACCGAGGAGAGCGCCGGGCCACCGCCCCCGCTCGGCCCCGCCAGCCCAATGGGCTGCGGCCCAGACTCCGGCGCCGCGGCGCGGAACCTGCGCCGGAGTTGGGCTCGCGGAAACAACAGCGCCCGCCCCTGTCTTCCCGCGGCCGCGCCGGGCCCCTTCCCCGCCCGCCAGCGGCCGAGGCGGGGCGCGCGCGGGCAGTGGCTCGCTCCGGGCAGGGGCTCCGCGCGGGGGCTTCCCGAGCCGGGCCTCGGGAGTCCCGCAGTCGAGGGTCTGGCTGCGGGCGAGCCCCCGGCGCAGGTAACGGGACCGGCCGGCTCCCGCCGCGGGGCAATCAAGTCCGCTTCCCAAGTCCCGAAGCTGGGGTCTTCAACAAACCCCGGAGATCGCATCCTTTCCCACTGTGTTTAATCCAGAGAAAAGGCGATCGTTAAAGTTAACGCTAATCGTATGTATGTCTTCAAAGTAATAATTAACACACAAACTCAGATCCAAACAAACTCTCACCACTCTTTTTGTGGGAACAACTTATTTATTCAGAGTGTAATACTGTCAACTTCTTTTTGTAAGACTTGAAAAAGACCAAAATGGGATCAATGTACAGTTTATACTAAAGGTATCTGAAATACTTAGGCAGAATTTTCCTCAACTCTTACAAGTATAAAAAGTGTCAAAATTGATGAACGACATAAATCCGAAAGAAAAAAAAAAAATCTACTTAAGAGTAGGACATCCAGCTCGCACAGACGGTGGTTCGGCCGACGACAAGGCGTTCCTGGTCTTCCTCTAGACCCGGGCGAATCGTTAACTTCCCCAAGTTACAACTGAGTTGCTCTTTCCAGACTTTTCGAAGCATCTTTAAGTTTCCCCACTAAATCCTAAAAGAAGTTTATAATGCCACGTTTTTAGGACAAAACACAAGACAGAAGTATCCAAGATTGAGAAAGGTGCAAGAAAAAAGTCGGGGCACTTTCTCAACGAGTTTAACATTCACGAGGATTTTTAACCTTTGACAAACCACTATCGATCAAAAGATTTTCCTCTAAAATATCTCATCTTCAAGTGGGATACTTGCCCTCAGATTTGAAATATAATTTCCAACCGAATCCTTGTAACAGGCAAGGTATGTCAAAACTAAATTTCTCAAATTACCTACCAAAATCTATGCTGTATTCACACTTTCTGAAAGTTTAAAGTTTGATTAATGATTACATTAAAACAATTCCACAGGAGATGCCTTTTGAAAAATTCAAAATTCATCAAAATTTCAAGTAATGCTCTTCATTTTTTTAAGCGGTAAGAAATAAATTCGTTATCATTGTCCATTAGCCAATGTAGTTTTGAATTTTTCCAGTCTTATACTGGCAATACAAAGAGTTTTAGAATTTTATGTACTTCCTCCTTTATAAAAAGTGATTTAAAAATTATTGAAAATCCTGTTTGAAAGTTTAATTCAATTTCCGAAAACAAAGAAGACATTTTCAAAGACATGTTCTCAATTTTGCTTTGTCTTATTGAAGCAAACTAACCACAAATAGAAGAAATTTACACTCAATACTACAATTCAGAAATTTATCTTAATCAGAGGGAACAGCAAATATAAAACCAATTCTTTATGAGTAACATCTTAATTTCAAAAGTGAAGCCTACTTTAAATACTGCTTTTGAAGACCTTTCCCATTAAATCCTTAACCAACCTTCATTATCTACTGACAGATGGTTAGATAATTTTTCTTTTGAACTTTCCATAAGCATAATTCTCAATTAAACATCTATAAACAGGCATATTCACAGGTCCTAATACTGTACCTGTAATTGTTCCATGTTGCAACTAAAACTAATCTCTGGGTGAGATCGGGAATCTGTGTTCTAGGGAAGAAAAGAAAAAAAAGGCTGTTTATGTAAATCAAGGACACTTAAAATTTCATTTCACATTTAAATTTTAGATAAGGCTTATATGTAAATACCTCTACATTTAAGGTCACCAAATATGCAGGTCTGTACATCTTATGAAGTTGATTGGTCTAAAACAACACAATACATAATTTCAGTCTTTAACTCTATTTTTTTTTAAGTTTCCTAAATTCCCCCTAGAGAACAGTTTATTAAACTTTACCTTTATCTGATATTCCAAACGCCAAGAAACATCAGTTATATGGGGGAGAGATCTGCCTATACTAAAAAATACAATGATAATTTTGTACATAGTATCTACATAAAAACTTCTATTTTCCCAAGAATGGTGTCTACCTCCCCCACCACACACATACACAATTTCAATTTACTCTGAATTTACAACATTGTTAAACTTTATTCTCAAGTTCTGAAGAGTAAAGAGCATTTAAAAAATTATCTCAATAAACTTTATCTTTAAAAACATTAGCTTAACTTCAATTGTTTCACTTGCCCTTTAGCCCCTTTTCTTTTGGTCAAGATCCCTGTCTTTTTGTCCTGTTTTGTTTCACACCAGCACTCTCCATTCATACCTGCAAGTGAAAAGTGGCTCAGCTTGACACCTTATACAGTACCTACCTTCCCAGTAGGCTTTCTAGGGAATTCTTATTATTCTGGAGGGGGGAAAGAAAAAAAGAAAACACATCTTTGCAAAGAGAAGAAAAATAGTAATTGTTAATTTAAAAAACTTTAAGTAAGTAACCTGATATTCCGTGCAAAACAGTTCTATTCGCTCTCTATCAAATTTACAGTCTTCTAGATAAGTGCTAAAGGGGAGGGAAAAAAAGCCAAAGTTTAGTGTCCATTTTAAAAACTGAAATTGAAATCTTAAAGGTACTATTTGAAAACAAATGGATATTTAAATAAATCCTGTACCTTAGAGTTGATTTGTCAGCTCTTTGCTTTCCTGCCTCCAGTATGTAAGTTGCAGCTGCTGTGTAACAATGTTTTAAAACCACAGGATCGATATGTTTCAAGTCTGGGTGATCTAAAATAAATTAATTGCTAGTGATGCCTGTGATAATAAATTCTTTATAGTCATGTTTCTAAAAATGGGTATTTTCATTTGGGCAAAAATCCCCTTTAACAAGAACACAAAAAGAATTCAACTATAAGGATTGGCAAATATAAGTGAATGAGATGAACAAGGTCAATGGAAAACAATAAAGAACACACATCAATAATTCTGTTACCAGTCTCAATTATCTTCTTTTATTTTACCTTAATTTCTGTTTTTTTTTTTTTTAAACTGTAGCCCCAAAGGAAAAAAAAATAACTACACAGTGATCATTACAATGCTGGGTGAAGTAAATTCAGAGGAAAATAAGATAAATATTTTACATGATGTAAATGTAAGAATGAATAAACCTTCCCTCTAAAGAATGGTTACTTTTAGGATAACTGGCTCCAAGAACAGTAATATATCAGGGGCGGGGCACGAGTTCAGAATATAAAATTTTCAAAATATTTTCAGATTTTGACAGCTATCCTTTTTTTGAGATTAACCCAGGTGGTGGTTACTATTTTCGTTTAAAGAACTTCCACTTTCATACTTTTTGTACAAATGTTTAGATCATGAAACTACAGAAAAAAACAAAATTTGAATTGTTGGGATATTTATATTTAAGAAAATGATCTAAAAGCGATCTGTCTTAAAATATGCCTTCAATCCATACTGACACGGCACTCCGCAGTCACTGACCGGACCACTTCAAAGAGACTCATCTCCTGGTAACTGGTGCGGAACAGAACATTCTGCATCATATTTTAAGATTCTAGGCGTGGAACCTGTGCAAAACATATTTAACTAGCGTGTTGGAGTGATCACAGGAACTTGAGGTGTTCTCTAAGCTGCAGAATGTCAAGACTCTGTGACCTAGTAATTACTTTGAAAACAGACTCTTTAAAACCTTTGCCAGCCTAGCACTGAACGTTTGAATTGCAGGGAGGTATCCTGATGAAGTCCAAGTGTCAACCAGCCTTTGCCTCAGACCAGGCTGAAAACCTTAGATGTTTAGGCCACAAACAAGACTTGAACACGGGCTTTACAAAGGAACAAAGAGACTGGGAGGAGAAATCAGACCAGAAACGTGTAACAAGCTATGTGCAGGTGCCAACTGGGAACACAACAATGGTCAGGGTCCGCTCCGGGTTCACATCCCCACACTCCGTCCGGAGCGAAGGGCAAAGCCGGGAGACTTCCTCTTCCCGGGGTTTTCCCCCTCTCGCTCGGTCTCGCTCCTCTTCTCCGAGCACCCCTCCACCCAGGCCGATCTA